CACACACACACACACACACACACACACACACACTTCTACTTGTTTATAACACGCGCACGCGAACACATCGTAACAAAATGAGCAAATACAAATACATAATAAAATAATATGCACAAGGCAATTCGCAAAGTACTACAATGGATACATAGTCATTTACATAATACTGTACTGAACATGAATCTACTGACTTAAAAATGATATAATTAAATGTGTCTTTAAAGATATTTCAAATTTAGACTCAGATGTTGTATATCTCAAGGGTTGGGAAAGGGAGTTCCAAACTGATGGAGCAAGGTGGGCAAACGATCTTTCAGCTTGTTTTTACCTACTTTTCTAGGAACTCTAAAAAGATACTGATCGCCAGATCTTAGTGATCTAGATGGAGCATAAATCTGAGTGAGATCAGTAAGATATGAGGGAGCTTTGTTATTGACACATTTAGGACATAATATTGTAATATTATACGACACTCTATCTGACACGGGGAGCCAATGCAACGATAGAAATGTAAGATGACTGGAAGCTTCGACCCCGCCTCCCAGGGCCAATCCCCACTGGGAGGGACAAAGGGTACGTCTCCAGACGGACGGAGATGCCAGATGAAAAACCTCCCAGAAAGGAAATAGAATTCATATCTTTTGTTTTTGTTTTAGTAGACGTTTTACGGCGCTCGCAACTGCATAAGGTCATATGAGCGTCAGAAAATTAGAGGTGTTACAAGAGAGTAACAAACATAAAAAAGAAGGAGGGGAGATAAGGACGAAAGATGTGTGATAGGAAAGAAGAAATAAACCACACCTGAGCACCCGCCAACCACCCACTCACATCTTTTGGGTGCGACGACGAAGCACCTAACCGCTATAATAAAGACGCACAATGCAGGGACAAAGACAACAGATACAGAATCAAACGTCAAAGCTATCACACATAATCTACAGACACGGTTTGGGGTCACAGAACACCGAAAGAAAAAGAAAACCAAATAGCGGTGTAAAAAGTTCGGGGGATGGATGGGTTGAATGTAAATTTAAAAAATTACCCATTAGAATAAATTAAAATTTAAAAAAAGACAACCTTAACAAACAAGTCTGAGGAAAAAAGTGGGTTTCAAAACAATAAATTATTCAAGACAATCCTTTTGTCTACAATCCTATTAAATTCTGTCCTGAAAAACAGATTCTCCTCCCACAACAAAGTCAGGATGAGTGCATCACAAAACTCTCTGACACAAACGCATATTGTATTCGTTTGTCTGAGAAAAATGGACTCAAATCGACGCAAGCGCGATCATTTTAAGCTGATAAAAAACAGAAACACCAGAGAGAGAGAGAGAGAG